TCTACAATGAACTCAACAGAGCTAAATGCCATCTTCCTTCCTAGGAGCGTTTATCTGCTGAGTGCTGTGGGCAAAGGAGATCACTCGCAGGGCACAGAACACGACCCAAAGTTACTGTCACGCTAGTGGAGAGAACGGTGGTGACTCTGCTAAACCTTCCAGCATGCATTGGGCTCAGGAGATCCCTGTGACATTCCAAGGATACAGACTTCCACGGTGGGAGGAATTTTCCTCCCTCTAATTTCACCGGGTCCTCGCCCGAATATTTATGAAAGATGTAGATTTCATATCAGCCCAGGGTATCGAGTAACTTCTTGGCGAGGGCAGCCCGGTTTTCGGGACCCATTAAGATTCTTTGCGGAAATTTAAATACCTCTGTCAGGCAAACGGAATCGTATCAGGAACCATAGACTCTCATTGCTAGAAAGAGAAATTAGATTAACCGAGCCTCACCCCTTTCCTAGAAACCTCAATAAAATAAGAAGCCCATTTCAACAGTCTCTTACTTCCGGGACTGAAGGGGGGGTGGGGGGGAGCGCCTCCCAAGACATCTAAATGAATTTATATTAAAGAAAGTTATCCTTGAGGAAAACCCTTCCATCTGCAAAAAAAAAAAAAAAAGTATATATTTACACAGAGGAGAATACATAAGTATATGTTACATATTAGAAGGCGGTGGCTATTTAAAAGCAAAACAGCCAGAAAAGAAAAAAAAAAATCCAGGGCAGAAACCGTAGCAAGCTCCACACTAAGAAGCTTTCAGCCCCTGAACACATCCTTGTCCTTTATTAATATTTAGTGGAAATGTATAATTGCAGATGTGTGCGGGGTTGGGGTTTTATGTCGGGGGGCGGGCAAAGAAGACAGGTTTATTACAGCCATGAAATATTAAACAAGCACCAAGCACAGTAGTAGTATGTCCCGGACTAGCCAGGGAGCAGGCAGGCCCCCGCGTCAGCTGCACAAAGGGGGCTTCTGTTTACATTACCCCCCGATTAACACCTGCGAAGTTTTGGGTTACATCTTCCGGAGGCTGCAAGAAGTCACATGGAGGCATGTGACCCTGGCTGGATGCTTACACAGGGAGACGGGTTGCCCCCAGACAAGTTGGCCTGAGCCTGAAAAAGCTCTCCAAAGGTGTGGGGGAGTGGGGGAGTGGGGGAAACGGTTCAGAAAGACGGCACTCAGAGCCCCCCTCCATCCCCCAGCCCGCCCCATGTCTAAAGGAAATTCGGTGTCCAAATCCCACCCGCCTTGGATTTCTCAGCACCGTTCTACTGTGTTCCGACTGGAACGCTGAGGGGAGCGTGAAATTCCAAAAATTTCTCCCGCATCACTATAAACACGTCTTACTTCCCAAAAGGGCAGGATTGCATGCAGGGCGAAGACAGAGACCTCTCCCCCTTCAATGTATGGGAAAGAGCGTTTCTAGGCTGCTCCCGATTTTAAGATAGAGAGAGAGAATCCCACGGAATGGAAGTTTGGCCAGGATCGACTTATGACAGAATATGGTGAATTCCAGTTTTGAAAATTCTGGGGAAAGAGGCAGGAGGAGGGAGAGAAGCATACTGTTTCCTACAATCTCTCCTTCAGCGGCAATCTAGCATTATTTCGAGTTCTTTATCAGTTTTGAAATTCCTCCATGGCCACACATCTATTACGAAGCTAGGTGGACAATTCTGCAAACTCATTTCAAATGCATGGCAACCTCACTGATGTCATGGATGCCTGAATAGGCCCAAACGCAGGCTGGGGGTTTTGTGTGTGTGTGTGTGTGTGTGTGTGTGTGTGTGTGTGTGTGTGTGTGTTTTTCCCCCTTTGCACAACCTCACCCCCACCCCTCACTCCAACTTTGTGCAAATGGGGCCTCATGATGAGATGTAGCGTTTCATTATATAAAAGTTGCTCAGTTGGGTTGATTAAGAAGTCAGGGGAAGCGTGATTTGGAGAAACTCGCTTTCCTGGTTAAAAAAAAAAAAAATCGTAATCACATGTCAAGCTGGCCTAGACTTTCCCAGAACTGCAACTTGCCAGTGGAGTTTCCTCCCCTCTGAAGGGCATCTAAACCCCATAAGACAAGCTGGGCACGTCCGGCTTGGGCAGCTCTGAAGACGTATTCCTTCTCTCCGATCTGAGCACGGGTCATTTTGTTAAATACCGACTAGTATTTTGTCATCGGAGCGAAGAATTTCAGAAACGGTGTTAATATTTAATCACATTAGTACTGGCGTGTTTTACGGCGTGACAAACTAAAATATCATTACAAAAGTGGG